TTTGAGTTGAAAATTCTAAACTCTGTTCGTAGTGAGATATCCCTGGTCCTCCAAATCCTGTTCAAAGAAATAAATGCAGTCTGTGCCTTTCCAATGCGGGACTTTATTTCAGAGCCTGTTCCTCCCTCTCTGTCAATTATACTCCCAAGATAGTAGAAGGATTCAACGTCTTCTAGTGCATTTCCTCCTTGTACTGTGACCTGCTCCTTTCGTAGTGCATCTATCCATACGACTTTTGACTTTCCGGGTAGGATCCTCAATCCAACAGACTCTGATAGGCTGTTTAAAATTGTTGTCTTTGCTTGCATGTTCCTGAGTGTGTGTCAGAAGCGCCAAGTCATTTGCAAAGTCCAGATCGTCCAACTGTGTCCATGGGGTCCACTGTACGTCGTTTCTGTGACCTCTAGTGCTTTCCTTCATTAGCCAGTCGATTGCCAAGATAAAGAGGAAAGATGATAGTAAACACGCCTGTCTCACACCGGTCTTGATGTCAAAGCTGTCAGTGAGCTGGCCATCATGTATAAGCAGGCTCATAGTACATTTTAACAATTGAGACTTAAGATTCGGGTTCATAGTAGAAAATCTTTGCTGAATCACTGAAATGCACTGAGTTGCTCACAGTGAGTTGGGAGTTGATTCCCGGAAGTGGGAGTTGCGAGCAGTGAACGGAATCGATACCGGGATCCAGCTTTAGTCACCTCTCTCTAGATAGATTTTAGAATTGTAGAAGGCCTAGCCTAGATCTAGATTCTAGGCCATCTTAGCCTGATCCTTAACTTGAAATTTAATCTTTGCCTTCCTTGCCTAAGATTATATACTATATTCTAGATCTAGGATACCAACTTGAGGTAACAGGAATCAAATTATATCATCAATATGAATGAAAATTTATAAATTTAGAATCTACCACTATCATCCTGTCCACATTTATTCTTCAATTGTTTACAGCGGAACTCGGATTCAACGAGCTCCGATTCAACGAGAACTTGGATTCAATGAGATGAGATAGATTCCCCGTTTTTTTTCTTCTTTAAAATCAATAAAAATAATCCGGATTCAACGAGCACTTAAATCAGCGAGCTCTGATTCAACGAGGTCGCTTCCTGGGTGAACAGCCCCCGCAGACCTGGCTTCGCTCATTTTTCTCCTAGAACGAACTTTATGATACTTTATCTATTCCCGGAAACCATCCATTGCACCTGCATTGTGAACCATTATTCACTTAGCCGATCGCATGCGACCAATCAGCGGCCTTTTTTATGCGTTGTTGGCATGCGCACGTGTCTACTAAACTACTTCGGTGTGTGTCGGGGTCAGATGTGCGGCCTGCACACGTGTGGTTGTGTGTGCGAGTCAGGGATAGGAGGGGGGGAGGGCCACTAGTGGTCCGGGCGTTGAACATCACAGATACAAACGTCTCACAGTCTTTTTTTTCCCTCGGCAGCTGATCATTATTACAAGGAAGAGGCTAGCCGTACTTAATGACGGCTAGCCTGCTGGGCTAGCTGTACTTATTCTTTTAATTTATGATGGCTACAATGACCATAAAAAAGGCCTACTGAATTGTAAATAAATTTTTAGTTTGCAGTACCTAAAGTATTTGTATTTGAGACGAAACCAGGTGCCTTAATGACAGTGCATATGTATTTTAAACCTCGTGTTTTCTAATGTTAATAGGGCCTAAGACTAAGATAAGTACGGCTACACAGGCAGGCTAGCCGTGTAAAGGCTAAACTGCTAGACGGCTAGGCTATACGGCTAGACTGTCAGGCTAGCCATACTTGATGGCTGAATTGTAAATGAAATTTTTAGTTTGCAAACCTGAAGTATTTGTATTTCAGACAAAACCAAGAGGTGCCTTACTGACTTGCATTATTTAAGGAAGTGGCTATCCTCACCTGGGGTGAGAATAAAAATATGATCTTCCTCTCACCCCAGCGTAGGCTATTCTCACCCGGTGTGAAACAAGACCTGTTTTTCCTCATTTCGGTATACTGTCCATCGGTGTGGATGATCAAATTGATAAAAGCCAAGAAAAAATTACATCATAGCACAAAAGTAAGCTAATTTGTTCGTCTTCAAAGATGCTATGGCTATTTCACTTTTCGAATCGAGCCGAACTACGCGGATCGCCATTTTGTTTTGCCCGGAAGTTTTCGGAAGATCTACTCCTCCCCCCTCTCTCTCTCCGTCTCTTTCTGAATACTGTCTATCAGTGTGGACGATCAAAGTGACCAAAACAAAGTTTAAAAATGACGTTAAAACACAAAAGTAAATTAATTTGGTCGTCTACAAAGATGCTACGGCTACTTAACTTTCCGAATCGAGCCGAACTATGTGGGTCGCCATTTTTTTTTGCCTGGAAGTTCTCGCGCTAGATCTAGTAGTACTACTTACTCCTCTCTCTTTCTCTCTTTCCACTGCCCACAGACCTGACCATCAATGATTTATTTATATATAGAGGCACCAGCCATCAATGTCCATGTGCTGTTTTAGCCTCTTTTTCCTGTATTCGGATTTATAATATCTTTTTGCCAATTTATTGGTTCCGCTTCTATGTACATCATATCTATGGTTCTCAACCTGGAAATCGCCTATAATTCGCTGTAATTGCCTCCCCCCTCCCTTCTCATCACCCCCCCCCCCCTTTTTATAGTGTCATCATTTATGTTACCGTCTATTTTTATCGATAACACGTTTATGGATTAAGGGCAGTATTAATGATAATTAAGAAAAAAACAACCATCAATTAAATAAATAAATAAATACATAAATAAATACATAAATAATAAATAAATAAATAAATAATGGTAATGATTTTATCATAATACAAATATTGATAATGAGAAGAAGAAAAAGACGAAGAAGAAGAAGTAGAAAGAAGAAAAAGAAGAAGAAGAAGAAGTCTGCCCACAGTCTGCCATTGTACAGTGGAACTCGGATTCAACGAGGTCGCCGGGGCTGACCTAAAATCTCGTTGAATGCAAGTTTTCGTTATAGCAAACTCGAGGTTTTGGGTAGATAATTACAGGCACTGAGCAAGTAATGTATAAAGAGAAGTCACAAGTAGTGCCTGAAATGCCTGCATGATATTATGAGCTGGGTAAAGAGAGACAGATTCGTTCAAATGCACACTGTACATTTGTGTCATCTTGATTGTTTACCAAAAAGCTGTGTTTTGCTGTTTAGAGCCTAGCATACGGCAACTTTAGATTCCATGGACAAGCGCACAATTCATTCATTTTGTAGATCTACGTCAAGACTAGATCTAGCTGATCATTTTGGAATAGTGATCAGTTGCCGAGAGGGAAAAAAGACTGTGACGCGTTGCCGTTAGTTAGTTATAATCTGCGACATTCAACGCCCGGATCGCTAGTGCCCCCCACCCCCATCCCACTCCCCCCCCACCCCTCGACACGCACAGTCACACGTGTGCAAGCCGCCCATCCGATCCTGACACACGCCAGAGTAGACACCACGTGCATGTGCCAAAAACGCATGTGTTGGTATGAAAAAGGCCGCTGATTGGTCGAATGCAATCGGCTAAGCGAATAATTGAATAAAATGGTTCACGATGCAGGTGCAATGGATGGTATTCAGGAATAGAGATAAAGTTCGTTCTGGGAGAAAAATGAGCGAAGCCACGTCCTGGGGAGCTGTTCACCCTGGAAGCGACCTCGTTGAATCCGAGCTCACTGATTTAAATCTTGAAGTGCTCGTTGAATCCGAGTTATTTTTATTGATTTTAAAGAAGAAAAAAACGGGGAATCTATCTCACCTCGTTGAATCCGAGTTCTCGTTGAACCCGAGCTCGTTAAATCCGAGTTCCAATAGGTCTAGATCTAATCTAGTCTAGGTACTTTCTGTTTCGAAAGTGGCTATTCTCACCCGCCCGGAAGTTCTCGCAAGATCTACTCCTCCCCTCTTCTCTCTCTCTCTGTCTCTTTCTGAATTACTGTCTATCAGTGTGGACGATCAAATTGACCAAAACAAAGTTAAAAAATGATGTTAAAGGCCACCTCTATTCTCACCCGGAGTGAGAATAGCGCAGGCGAGTCTTGTGGCTATTCTCACCCGGTGCGCGTTCACCAAATTTTGCGTTCACCCTAAACCACAGAATTCTACACTGTGATAACAGCAAAATTGTAGAATTCTGGGCGCTTTTTCGGTAGTTCCCACCCCGCATTTGTTATTCGCCGGTTTTGGCCCCAAGAGTAGGGGGGTTTCAGGGGGGGCTTGCCCCCCTGACCTAATAAAAACAAGGTGGGTGGTTTCAGGGGGGCATGCCCCCCTGAATTTTACCACAATTTAATGTTTTGCAGTTGTTAGGTTTGACATCTTAGCTTGCCGCGAATCAAACGTATATAGATGTAGGTCAGGCTCTATCAAATAAGGGGGGTGGGAACTACCGAAAAAGCGCCGAATTCTGTGCCGTGAACAAACGTTCCATTACAACTATAGCCTACTAAAAGCGTACAATTTTGTCTGTGGGCAGTGGAGAGATAGAGAGAGAAAGAGAGAGAGGAGTAGTGCGAGAATTTCCGGGCAAAACAAAATGGCGACCCGCGTAGTTCGGCTCGATTCGAAAAGTTAAATAGCCGTAGCATCTTTGTAGACAACCAAATTAATTTACTTTTGTGTTTTAACATCATTTTTTAACTTTGGTTTGGTCAATTTGATCGTCCACACCGATAGACAGTATTCAGAAAGAGACAGAGAGAGAGAGAAGAGGGGAGGAGTTGATCTTGCGAGAACTTCCGGGCGGGTGAGAATAGCCACTTTCGATGTTAAAACACAAAATCAATTTAAGTAAATTAATTAAAGTTAAAGCTTCCTTCTAGAATCTAGATCTAGATCTAGATCTAGAATCTAGAATCTAGATCTATTTCAATATAGAATTGCTAGATCTAGATTAGGTAAATTATACTAGAATATTATAGGCCTAGAACTTCATTTTAATCTGCTTAATCTATACTATTATTGAGGCTAGATCTACTTACATATTTTAAGACTGCAAGCATCTAATCTCCTGATTCTCCCGCCCACCATTATTTCAACTTTAACTTCAACTCAACTTGTAGAGACAAAATAAGTGACACATGATCGATCATTAGCTTATTATCCCAATAAACAAATGAATAATAACAATGCTTTACTTTGTTTCTCTTTCAAAAACCCAAAACAACGTTTAAATTTATCAACAAAACGTTGCTATGAAATTAACAGTCGTAAAGCATTGGTATCATAAACTCACGTTTTGGCTTGACAATGACAAGAATCTTCGCAACAGCCTTCAAAAATATAATATTGTGGAATCAATTCATCAAGTTCTTAGAGGTTACTCTCTTCCGACAACAAAAGTACTGGAGTATCTCCGGTCACACATAGGTGTGTAGAGGCAATTATACGTGGGCTTTCGGATAGCTTTTCCTGTGGCAGATAGACACACACACCACACAGACACACACACACACACACACACACACACACACACACACACACACACACACACACACACACACGTGTGCGGGTGCGCGGGTACGGGCACAGAGAAACATACAGACATACACGAAATAAGATAAACTAACTCTTTTATTATATTTCAAACGATATTAGATTATAGAAATTATTTCCTCTGCAATTAGTTAATTGTTAATTAATCGTTGCCCCTATGTCAACTCTTAGACATAGCCCCCACCCCCCAAATCAGGGCACTGCTACTGACTGAAGTTGTCTTTAAGCCATTCCCAAAGGGGTTCTTATTAAATATATTATGCACAGTAGAAATTGTAAATGGGCTGATCTATCAATGTCATGCTCATACTGTGCCTGGACAAGTTAGAGGGAACTGTTGCCTTTTCTTTCCTCATCCTTACGATCGTCATTTTCCTCTACTTCTTTTGTACGTTTGTCACTAACTTGTGAACTGCTATTATTTCCGAGGTGCCTTGATAGTCGAGGCAAGTTGAAACAGACTTTGTGCTGTTCAGGCTAGAGAGGTGAGCAGAGTAAGCCTGATTCCACGTTTGGACTTCTCTGTTGACATCCACCCCTTGGCAAGCGCCGTAAAAACTTACAAAAACTAAAGACATGGAAACAAACTGTTAATCCAATGTACATCCG